ACAAAATACACTATTTTCAAAACTTGAAATCTATTTTTTTCTCATGTCCATGCATCTTGATGTCGAGATGATCAATTTGGGCATCAAAACAACCTCTTCTAGTGAAATTTTTGAGGTAGGATCGAATTTGATTGTTTAGACCCTTAGCTGTATATAAACTTTTTTGAAAACTATATGATTGGATTGTATCATTTCTTTGCACAAAATTGGTGAAATTTCTTAGATATCAAGCAAGGTCAATTACACCCGAGCCATCTAGTTTCACATCTAATTATTTGGAATGCTTTTAACTTTTTATCCTTAAAGATAGATGGTCTTATATGCAAAAATAGGAATCTTAAAAGTTGGATCTCCCTAGGATCTTTTACTAAACTTGTTAGAGACAAAACAGAGAAAAGTGTTAACTATAATATGGGAAATAAAACATAAAATACATACCATAACAACACAAAGATTTATGTAGTTTACCCTAAAATGACTACATCCATGGTATGAAATATTGAAATATATCATACTAGTGAGAGTCACATCATAAATTTTGGGACATAAAGTTATAACACTAATGCTTAACAAAATCCAACTAGTTTTTCCGACCGACATCACTTGTCAATCTGTCTCTATACTACCACTAACCCAAAAAAGAACCTTGAGAGCTACAAAAACTTTCTCTCACTAAAAGGTCCATCCATCTCTATTCAACAACTGACCTAGAAGAGAACCTACTTTCTCTCACTAAAAAGGAAAGCTACTCAAAATTTCAATGTAAATCGTTTCTCTACCAAAAAAACGGGCTTCTCATTTTGCAAGAGGCAGAGATGAGGATGTTTATCTCCAAAGGAAGCTGACTTCTCTCAATGCGGAAGCCTCATGTCTCTCTCAATAAAGGAACTATACCGTGACCTAAATAGAGGTGATTTGTAGGTATCGTCGTAATCTAGTAGTATCCCATACAAGCGGTGATTTATAAAAGCTAAGATCTTGAAATTCACAAAATGAATGGTCTAGATTCACTTTTAAAGGGGACTCATTTTGACTTTGAACTCTTTTTTTTGGGGGGATCGATTATTGAGATGAAGTGAGTGTGTGTGCAAAATTTGGGGTCACATAAATAGCACACACAACGTTTTCTAGAAAGCGTCATTGCATTATATTATGATACAACCGTTGCATTGGATCATTGCTCATTTTTAATATCTTAATGTATCTCTCCACTTTTTAATTCCAATTCATGCAAGTAATACATCAGTTCATGCCATGCACCTTTTTTTTTTTTATGAAATGTATGTTATAATATTGTTGATTGTTGGTTTAAGAAGTCACAATCATTTTTAGCCGTCAGATATGAAATTAGCTAGTTGGGTTTGTGTTATTGCCTGAGCATAGAATTTAAAAATAATTTTTATTGAATTCACCTTTTGGTTTTGTACGCCACTTTCTTCAATAGCATGTTCATCCTAGGCTCCAAGAAAATTTAGACTTTTAGGAATATTTTGGTCACATGGATGTCTTGTTTGGGACAATTGAAGTTTGCTACTTTACATGCGGTCTTTATGTGTAAGAGGCATTTTTCTTGTGCTTGTTGGGATCTGTTATTGTGAAACCAATGATTATTTTTACCCATAACGTAATCACATCAACAACAAATCACATAAATTCTGTTGTTCTTCTTTGTTTTTTCTTTTTGCGTTGTTTATTACGTGTTTAATCACATTCATTGTTATTTTCTCTCAATTTTTTATATCAGCATCGATCCATATGAATAGGTTTTTAAAAGACAGTCGTAAAGATAAACTGAATAGGTTTTTAAAAGACAGTCATAAAGATAAACTATCTTACTGTAAACAATCCATTTTCTCCAATTTCTCATTGTCCCCTCTAACGTATAACTGTTCATCAGAACTGCCTCCTTTGATTGAAGAAGAACGGCGGATATTTTGTGTAGCATGCAAGCAACTTAGTACGTGTAGTATGCTGCATTACCCCATTGGTCAACTTCCCTTTCCTTTGAAATATGGCTTCTTCATAGTTGCGTTCAACTTTTCATCACTAAGGTATTGACTTCCTCATTCTCTCACACTCCATTCAATGAAGTCTCATGGGCTGCTTCTTAACTTATATGTACACTTTGACCTAAGTATGTGGCTTCAATGCTCTTAAACGTCACATTTTCTATTCATGTGAACGTTGGATTTAGTATCTTCAAGTCTTTACCTCTATATATCATTTATACCTCATTTTCGTAAATTTACTTCCTAAGGGAAATGCCCCCGATCCGTTTTTTATTAAATAAAAATGAAGAAAATACAAATTATAGTGTTAAAAACCTACAATAAGGTAATTGTGACAATTCATTAAGTAAAGATAAATAAATGAAATCTGATGGTCTAAAACGTCAAATTGTAGCATCAGAGAAATATATCCCCTGACAACAAAAAAAGAAGAAAGATATCCTCTTCTTGACAAGTGTATCTACTACTATGTTGGCTTCATGATAGATGTGAGAAATGGTTCACCTATGATTTGAGAGTCTATGGCCCCAGTTGGCTGCTACTGTATGCAGTGCTCGTGGAGTTCTCCATCGCCATTGAATATTATTTACAAGCAATGATAAATCACTTTCAATTTATAGTGGAAAACAGTCGAGTTCAAGAGCCAGATCAATGTCGACTTTGAAAGCATAAAATTCTGTAGAATTATTTTATACAATACCAAAGAGGGTGAAAAAAGCAGCAATGAATGCACCATCGCTATCCTTGATAATCTAATATATGTTAAATACAAGGATGTGTGTTTCAATGTTTGATTTAAACACCAATTCAAATATTGGGAGTGGAGATGTGATCTTTGGATTCACTATTTAAATAAAAGGAAAAGTTGACATTCAAGTTGATATTTAAATTAATATGAAAATAAAATATTATATTAATTTCTAACATCATACAAATATGCTTATCCTTGATGTGTCGGCATATGCCAAAGAGCCCTTCAAAAAACATTTGTAATAATTTTGGACCAAAACACCTCGGACTCACTTGAGTCTTTTGATTTTCTATATTTGTTTTGTTTTTTTATTTGTAGAATCACTTGGGGAAAATAAAAAAAAGACCCGCGCCGAGTTGGAGCTCGATGTTTGATACGACAAAAGTCATAGACACGTTCAGTATAAAAACCGATTTGTTGGGGTCGATTGTTCACGCACTAGTCCCGTGTCGAACAGTCGGACCATCGATCCAGATCTACAGTGGAAATCCAAAAAAACCCAAAAATAGAAAAAGAAAAAACTCAAAGAGGGTTTTATGGATTACAATTCACTGAGATATCTAATTAAAAAATAGAAAAGCTAAAAAAAAAAAGAAAAAAAAAGAAAAGAAAAAGAAAGGGGGCTTTACTATCCAAATTAGGCGATTCAAGATCGAGATTGCAAATTTTAAAATAATTATGCATAGTGACTAAAACATTTCCCATCTCCCCCGCTCATGGCGTGCATCAGATAAACTTTTTATTATTATTGGGAAAAGGTGCAATCAACTACAATTACCAAGCAAAAAGATGATATCTTGGGAGGGTTTTGTTTTCTCCAGTGACATTCTAGTTGTAGGAAATGTGTCGTTATCGAGAAGGAAAACGATTGAGTCCTCGTTATAACCCACACCCGACAATAACGAGCGTACCCACCATTATTTAAATATATATTAATAATTAATTGTAGTGATTTTGCATAAAAACATCGCATTTTCCCAATTATTCCCTTTACCTGTTTTTATGCGAAGGCATCATGGCTTTATGTAGTGTGAGAGAGACAGCTCCTTAACCATTTACCAGAGTAATCGACAACTAAACGGCGCCTTTATACATCACATATAATAATATCTCTCTAGACCATGTACTCTCTCTCTCTAGACCATGTACTCTCTCTCTCTAGACTTATCCTGTACATCCAACCCCTCTATTGTCATCTGCGGTCATTTTGTTCTATCAAAATCAGTCTTCAAAAAATTGAACCGGCCTTGGAAACCGGTGCAAGTAATTGGTAAATCGGCTTGTTCAACTGCTACCATCGGATAAATCCTGACTGATAAATAAAATATTAAAAAAATAAAAGTATAAAAAAATAAAAATAAAAAATATATTTAAATCATGATTATACAAAACATATCTAAATAAAATTAAAAATTATTTAACTTAGATTAAAAAATTGATTTGTGTCTAAAGGTATTGTTTTTTTTTTTAAAATAATAAAATATAAAAATAATTATTAATAATGAAAACAATTTCCAATTTTCGTCAAAATGATGAAAAATATTGAAAAGCGTGTTACAAATAAATCCGATTTGAACAAGGAATAATAATTATGAAAAAAAAAACCAATCTTACTTATGATCAAATAAACATGCTATATTGTCAAATATTATCAATAGAGATGAGAAATCAAGAAAACTGTTATTCAATTATAATAAGAGATTCAATTTGATAATAATTCCTATTATCTTATTCTTTTTGAACAATTAACAATGATTTTCATTGATAAACGAAAAGAGGTTACAACTATTATTACCTCGACAACAAGTGTATGAATCTTCATTATAGTAGTTGTGAAAGTCTAGATTTCAAAATTTGGCTTCCTATCTACATATTTCTTTTCCTTTTAAATTTTTTGAATTTAAAAAACCAATTGTTTTACAGAAATTTAGTTTATTTCCCGACTTTACGATTAAAGTTATATTATGCCTAAAATCCGGGGCTAAAGCGTGTATGCCTAAAATCTCGAATTTATATAATCCAACCCCCAAATTTCGTTCAGAACTCTGAAATTTGGGCTGAATCCGTTATAACACTCACCGAGGATCAAAAGATCGTTGGCGATTAGTACTCCACTGACAAGTGCAAGGGCCGTTTTTTTTTTCACTATTAATAAATAGCAATAAAACAAAAAAAATTAATACAAAAGGAAAAAACAAGGAAGGACACCTATATAACGGCCATTAGAAAGAGAGAGAAGGCAGGAAAAAAGCAGAGGGGTTTTAGAGAGAGAAAGAAGAGAGATGCGCACCTTCCAATTTCAGGCACCTGTAGGCGCTAGAATTACTATCAAAACCCTAATTCTTTTTCTCTCTCGTCTAGCCCTTTCTTTCTCTCTATAAATTTTAGTGAATTTTGTTTTATAAATTATTGGAGAAAATCGTAGAGAAAGCTTGATTTTGGACTGTTACTTTGTCCGTGAAAAAGGTGCAGAAGCTGAGAAGTCACGAGCTTTGAGGGATTCTTACCTGAATTGGATCGGTTTTTTCCGGTATGGACACCGTGCTTGAACATTTAGCTGTAATTTTAGGTTTTTTCTCTTATTTTTCTTTATTTTGAGAGCTTTTTTGTTGTTTTGTGGTGGCATTTTGCTTTCCTGGATCTGTTAATGGTTTCTTGGTTTCAAAGGAAGAACATTGTGAAGGAAGAGAATCTTTTGAGGTTTATTTCCTGTTGTTTGGTTTTTAATGGCTTCTTTTGCCTTCGAATCATGAAATTTTATGGATCTTTACGAAATTACAAAGTTTTTGGCTTCTCTAGTCATCATTACCACAGTTTGAGAGGAATTAGGAGTTGCGGGCCTCCATTTCTTGTTAGTATGTTTTATGATTTACGGCAATTTTGTTTTTTTTTTGACAAGAGCAGCAAATTTTCTTTTATCAGGTCTTCTCTTTTTCTTCCTTAAGTCAGCTCAGAATCCACTAAATCATGGAACTTTCTTCTTTTTATCACATTTAAAAGAATTTTGTCTCTCCAGTATCATTGTTTTAGATAGGGAACAAGTTGTAATTTGTGGAAATTAAATGTTGTTTTCTTGAATATGTTTGTTATATATAAGGAGACAGAATTTACAGATTTGGTCTCTATTTTTTAAAATCAATGAAAAACTTTGCTGAGTCACCAGTTATTGCAGATCTGTATTAAATGAGATCGGTTTAAGATGGGTATTTTCATTTTTTAATATTTTCAGCAAACCAATTTATGAAGTTAAACTGTATATGCATTTAATTTTGTCAATATTTCTGGACCTTGATCTGTCTTTTGAATCTAGAGTACTTTGATGCTTCTGCTGTGTTAAGGGTTATGGAGTCCTGTGATCTGAGAGATCTTTATTAGAATGCAGAAGGTTTTGAGTTAGGCATCTATTTTCTTGTACTTTAGCTTAACAGGGGTAGTTGGACTTTTACCAAATTGTTAAATCCATTGCTTCCCTGAGCTCCTAGGCAGATGACAGACAGAGTAATATAATTATCCTCACTTTTAAAGAGTTAGAGTTTGAACCTCCAGATATGTTATTGCAAAAAGGAACTAATGTGTGTAAGTGTTATCTAGATATTCAACCAACAGTATCAGAAACTGGATTCTGTATTGGTGAAACAGTGAAAGTATTTGCTGAAGTTGGGGGTTTGCTTTTTTCCATTTAATATTTTTATTTTTTTGGTATATTTCGGGTACAATGAAAGAAAACACACTGTCATTTGTGTCATACTTCTACCACCTTTCATACTTAGTCGGAACTTTAAATGTATACCAGGGTTTAAATTGTATTTCATCTTGTAGCTGCAAGTTTCGGTTTTGACATAATAAACAGAATTTCTGGATTTCATGCACTTATTAAATCCAGAATTAAACTGAAATGAATTTTTCACAGAAGTTGGACTTGAATGCCAATTTGTGTTAAATTTGTTGTTCAAAATCGTATACAAGATGCAGGGTTAGATTCTTGATGAATGCCTGTATCGGATCATATATTTTCAAGTTTCAATTTCTTGAATTTGGTAGTTATTTCTCAAGGAGAAGGAAAACAATAAAGCTGACCTGGACTCACATACCAGAAGTCATTAAAATCGGTCTAGTTAGATATCCCATGGAGGTTAGGGTGATTTTAAGCTGAACAATGAACTTGGAAATCTGGGTTTCTATTTCTGGAAAACATTCAATTAGGCTAGTACTTGTTAGAAAGCTCTCTCTGTTGTGTATGTAAGTATTTGGTGATCTTTGTTTTGTATTCATGTCCATGCAACTTTGTACATGCTTAAGACTCATGTCTCACATGTTGATTTTTTAGTGTCTCCATTATATGTATTGAAAGACAGATAGTGCTTTTGTAGATCACTGAAGATAACCTACTGATGTGGATCAAAGAAAATGGTTATCATTCATTCACCTGAGCTTGATCTCTGAAGCCCACATATTGCTTATTGCATTGTGTGGGAAATGTCAGGTAACTCGCACATATAAAATGGTTTGTTTATATGGAGATTAATATTTCATGTGACACATGCATTGTGTGCTTTATCTTTAGAAGCTGAATGTTTTTCAAATTGTGCATATATTTTAAGCAAACATGAGATTGCCCAAGTTGGATCAATAATCTGCTAGGCATCTAAATATCCGAGATTTTTTTTTTTTTGGGTTTCTCCTGCAATTCTTGGCATATAGTCACCGGATTAGGATTTTTGGTGGCTAGTCGGGTGACCCTTTTTTTGCACAATCTCTCAGTCCTGTAAAAAGAAGCAATGCACATTGTGAATGATATTCTTGGCTTGTTGGATTCTAGGCCTTGATTGCTTGCATGCTCAAGAGGAAAGGAAAGAGAGGAGATCGGATATGGAGAATTCTGAAGACGAGAGAAGAAGAACAAGAATGGGAACATTCAGGAAGAAAGCATTAAATGCTTCGACAAGGTTCACTCACTCTCTCAAGAAACGAGGGAAACGTAAAGTTGATTGTAGGCCTCCAGTGGCAATTGTAGATGTACGAGATGCAGAGGAGGAGCATGCAGTTCATGCATTCCGCCAAGTGTTGCTTCTCGAAGATTTACTTCCACCCAGGCATGATGATTATCATACATTATTGAGGTTAGTTTAATGTTCTAAAAGAAAAAAAATGTCATGTTTCCCCATCTTGCAAAAATAATTTTTTTTTTGTTCTTCTCATGTTTTCTTTCTGCGGGTTATTATCTTCATATTTTCTTTTTTTAAAAACTTGTTTTGAGGCTTTTGATTATTTTGGCAATCTGAACAACACTTTCATCCTTGTATCTTGACTTATTGATCTTTAAATTTGCCTATGTTCATTTTATATTTTGCAAAAATCATTTAATGACTTTGTACATTATATTTGTATTGTTCAATTTATTTTTCTGAGCATAAGTTTGCCACTGGAATTTTGTTTTAACTTGAAGTAAGGTTTCTATTGAATTATCTGCTAGGCATCAAAATATCCCAGAAATTCTTTCTTTTTTTTTGTTTTGCTTCTCCCTGCAATTCTTGGCATATAGCTGACAAAAATACATAGCTCTGTGTATGTAGTCTATGACCTAATCTGTAGTTTGAAATATGTACAATTGCCCCCACCACATAAGTTAAACTGTGACAAAGTACACAAAAAGTCAAACATATGGAAACAATGCTTTGTTATTCTCTTTCAAGTGTAGAAAATAAGACTTTGTTGTGATCCGTCTCGTGTGATTTGTAATAATAAGGGAAACTTACGTACGGACCGGTTTTTTTTACCATTATAACGGTATGGCCTGAAAATAGGCCGTTATTACCTGGAAGGATGCCTCCTTGATTTTTTTTTATTTTTTGCCAATTTGCCCCCGGTCCGATGTTTCAACCATCGGATTGCTTTATTTATCACTTTTTTTCAATGAAAAGAGGGAGTAAACATAGGGGACAAAACCTACACTATATGAGCCGGCAATGCCGGTAATTCTGTGGTCTAACTCTTTATCCGTTTTAGAGAGAGAGAGAGAGAGAGAGAGAGAGAGAGAGTTGGCAAGATGTGTGCGAGGAAGTAGGAAAAGGAGGTCGTTGGCGTGAAGGTGACTAAGTTAAGTGGTTAGTCGGTCTTCCGTTTAGTCTGGAGCGA